GAACCTCGAGGGGGGCACCTGGCTGCGCGACGCCACCTACGAGCGGGGCGACGGCGAGACGGAGCGTTTCTGAGCAGGCGAGCCCCCCGGAACATTGCTCAAGGGCTGGCGCAACGCCTACCCTGAGTACTCCGAGGCGGACCGCGCGAAGGTCTTCGAGGCCATCGACGCGCAGGTGCAGCCGAGAGCCTGGACGGACGAGCCGGCGGCAAGCTGGACCATCGACTTCATCGAGCAGGAGCACGGCCAGAGCCTGTGTTCGCAGACTGCCTCTCGAGCCAGTGGACCGAGGCAGTGGCGCTCCGAGCGCGGCTCGAGAATGTCATCTACGCGCCCGTGGCTCCCGACGTCGCGAGCTGATTGCCAGAGACTGGTGCCCGCGAGCACGGCCAGCTCAAGGCTAAGATCCGACAGGTCATGGCCGATATGCACTGGGCCATGGGGCAAGACTGGATCCATAAGGCCGAGGGCGATCCCCAGAAGCAGAACAACTCCCCGACACAATGGGGGCCCTACGAGCGCCTCTGCTACGACTCCGGAGCCTGCGCCCGCTTCCGCGAGCAGAACAAAAAAGCGGTGCCGCTCCAGAGGCGGCGAGCCAACCAAATGCTCGCGATCTGGCCGACAGAGCACGGCGAACTGAAGGTCGCCACGGGCATGGGGCCGTGGAGCTACCCCATCGAGCCCGGCCGCGGCATCGAGAACAGCCTGGCGAAAGAGCGCCTCGAGGGCACCCAGAGCTGGCCCGAGGGCGCGCCGCCCGTGCCCGAGGGGGGCGCCCTCGACGGCAACTGCTTCCACAACGACGACTTGCCGAGGGACTACGAGCAAGGTGAAACCCCTGCCTCCTGGAGCTCCGAGAGCTGGACCTCGAGCTCACCGACGAGCAGAAGAGCGTGCTCAAAAAGCCAATGGAGCGGATCAAGGAGATCAAGTCCCCGCGCGCCCCCGAGAACAAGATCAAACTGAAGCGGACACATTGTCGCAAGAACATCGCGGGCCAGTCCCCGGGAAAGCGCGCTCGCAGGTGGCAGGCGAGAAGCCCAAGACTGGCGGCGAGACCTCGCTCGAGCACCTCAGCAGAGGCGCGGCCGCGGCGACGCTTGCAGGCAGGCCGCCGATGAGGCGCGAGAGCTTCTCCGATAAGTTCAAGCAGAGGATGCAAACGGAGAAGGGCGCCAAGAAGCATACCAAGGCCAAACAGACAAAGGGCCTCGAGGCTTGCGAGGAGCCCCCCAGGCACGGCAAGGTGGCGCGCGTCACCGAGGGGCGCGTCCGCGGGGGCAGGCGCGGCAGAGTGCGGGGCGTCTGGCGAGTGCTGGGCACCGAGGACGAGCGCCGCCTGCGCGCCCTCGAGGCGGAGACCGCGGCGATCTTCCAGAGCGAGAGCAACGAGGCTGGGAGGGTCACGGCCGCTCGTTGGCTTCCGCCTGCTTCTGCCTGGGGCGGCGGAATCAAGCGGAAGTTAACGGAAACGGCGGAAACGACGGCGGAAGCGGCGAAAGTTGACGGGGAAGCTGGCGGAAGCAGGCGGGAGTAACGCGAAGCGGAGGCAGGCGGGAGCCAACAAGTGCCTGCGAATCCCGGACGCCACTGGTCACGATCGAGCAGGACTACAAGTTCCCCACGCCGCGCAAGCTCGACTGGACCAGACAGACTCGCCGCACCGAGCTCGCCAAGGAGTACGCGATCATGAACTGAAAGCAGATCGTCAAGGGCGACGACCTCGAGCTGGGCGCAGGGCGCGCGCTGCTGGGCGAGATCGAGGAGCGCGTGGGCGTCCCCGAGACCGTTCTGGCCATCGAGCCCACGGTAGCCGTTCTTTGGGCTCGAGAAGGCCAAGGCGAAGACGCGCCCGCCGCCCAGCAGCCCGAGGAGCAGAAGCGCTGGGCCGAGAGGGTCGACAAGGCCCAGCACGTGCTGGTCTGCGCGCGCTCCGAGGCGCCTGCGCTCTACGCGTGCCTCAGGGTCGGCGGCTGCCCTCCCCCCCCCACGGTGCCTCCAACGTTTCGCTCCGGTGTGGAGCGAATCCTGGAGGCGCCCTGGGCGGGGGGCACTTGGGGCAATTCCCGCGAAGTCTCGAGGGTCGGCGCGGGCGTCGCTGTGGAGTGCCGCGACGCCCTCAAGAAGCCGCCCGAGAACGCCAAGCAGGCCCAAAAGGGCCACGTGCGAACCCACACCTACACCCCACGATTTCTGAGGGGAGGGGTAGGGTTCACCTTGCTCGGGAGCTACCGAACGAAGTGAACCCCGCCCCCCTCCCCAGAAATCGCGGGTAGGGTCCGCGCGTGGACTACCAAGGCCGCCGCGAAGATCCTCCGCAAGCTCGGCGCCATTGGCCTTGGCGAGAATTGCCCAACACCGAGCAACAAGCAGTGCCGAGCAAACGGTTGGAGCTGCGGTTTGTGGACGTGTCGCTGGATCGAGCGCGCACTGCGCGAGATCCGAGGCGAAGGCCGCCAAATACCAACGCACCTCAACGCAATGGTCGCTCGAGGCAACGAGTTCACCAGTCAACTCAAGGAGGCCAGTGGCAACAGCTTGGCGACTGCCAAAGCCAAGGCCAAGCACAAGTCCAAGCCCTGCAAGGGCCCCGCGGCGGCCGAGCCGAAGTACGCCACCCTCGAGGAGGCAAGCGCCGCCGCCCAGCGTTGCACCAAGTGTCTCCCATGCAGAGACGGCTCTAAATGATGCCGTGGTTGCATGGGAGAGCGGTTCGAAGTCCAGCGCAAAAGAGGTTTCTTGGCCAGATCGGCCAAGGACCTCTCTCGCGCTGGCCAAATGTAGCCACGAGCCTCGAAATCTCTCGAGTCAGCCTTGTGCCGAACGCCTGCTGGCAAGTTGTGTAGCCACGAACCCCGAGATCTCTCGAGTCAGCCCTGTGCCGAGCGCGTGCTGGCAAGTTGTATAGCCACGAGCCTCGAGATCTTTCGAGTCAGCCTTGTGCCGAAAGCCTGCTGGCAAGGTGTAGCGCCACCCAACGCAGGAGAGGTTTCTTGGCCAGATCGGCCAAGGACCTCTCTCGCGCTGGCCAAATGTAGCCACGAGCCTCGAGATCTCTCGAGTCAGCCCTGTGCCGAGCGCATGCTGGCAGGTTGTGTAGCCACGAGCCTCGAGATCTCTCGAGTCAGCTCTGTGCCGAGCGCATGCTGGCAAGCTGTATTGCCACGAGCCTCGAGATCTTTCGAGCCAGCCTTGTGCCGAGAGCCTGCTGGCAAGGTGTTGTGCCACGAGCCTCGAAATCTTTCGAATCAGCCTTGTGCCGAGCGCCTGCTGGCAAGTTGTATAGCCACGAGCCTCGAGGTCTCTCGAGTCAGCCCAGCCTTGTGCTGAGCACCCAGGACCACCATCATCATAATCATAATCATCGTCATCATCGTCGTCATCAGCATCATCATAAACATCATCATCATCATCATCATCATCATCATCATCATCATCATCATCATCATCATCATCATCATCATCATCATCATCATCATTATCCTCATCCCCAGGAAATTATTTTAGTATCCCCGCCAGAACCCCGAACTTTATTATCCCCGGGGTACTACTATCGCCCGCACTGGGTTAATGAAGCAGGCATGCTTCTAAAAAACCCTCACCCCTCCCCCCAACCTCCCCCTTCCCCCCACCCCCTTTCTGCGCGTGGCTGATCCGCGGCGACGGGTGGCGAGCTGGATGCCTCCGCTTCCGCTCATGGGGGCAAAAGAACATGGCCGCACAGGGCCCCTTTGGGGCCCCTTTGGCGCACCCGTTGGCTCCCCAAGGGGCCCTAAAGGGCCCATTTCGGGCCCTGTTTTCACTTCCGAATTGGCTCTCAAAGGGACTCTTTAGGGCCATTTCTTCACCCCCCCACTTGGATCACCCCCACCACCATCCGCCCGAACCGCCTGCTCGGGCCATCCCACTAACTTGCGGCCGCTGCCGCCTCGCTCGGCGGCGGAAATCCGCGGTTTCCCATGGAAGCGGGACACGTCGCTAATCCGCGCCCCCTTGATCCATGTTTGTGATCGCCCGGTGCTCGGGATCCCCCCCGCCTTGCTTGGGAGGCCAGCCCCCCCCCTCCGCGCCCCCCCCGCGCCCGCCGCCCGCCTCTGCGGGAGCTCGGCCCTGGAGAGCCCCGGGACCGGCTGGCGGGGCGGCGCCGGGCCCTCGAGGAGCCAAACATTGTCGAGCAAGGAATCGGCTAAAGAAGGACTTTGCCCCAGCATTGATTTTCCTCCTCCTCCTCCTCCTCTTTCTTTTCCTCCTCCTCCTCCCCGTCCTCCTCCTCCTCCTCCTCCTCGAAAACATGTTTGAACAAGCGATCGACTGTACAAGGGATTTGCCCCCACATTGTTTTTTCTTATCGAGTCCATAAGGAGTGCGTAAACTGTGGCAGATTCGACGTCAAAACTAATTGTCGAGCAAGGGATCGACTACAGAAGGAATGTGTCCCGGCCTTGACTTGTCTCGTCGAATCCATAAGGAATGCGCAGAACTGCGGCAGGTTTCGAAAATGCTACGCGTGCGTCTCTACATTCGACTCCAAACTAACTTGTGGGGTAACTAAATCATGTAATCAATCCCCTACTCTAAATCAATTGTGTGATCAATCCCGTACTCGAGAAATCGCATGAACACCGAAACGTTTGGGGATCCGCGCGGGCTCCCTGGATCGGCGCTGCAGCCCCCCTCCCAGGCGCGCGCGCGCGCCGCGCGCCGGCAGGGGGCCCCCAGCGCCGATCCAAGGCATCCGCGCGGACCTCCGAAGGTCCATATGTGTTGCAATGTGCTCCTCGAAATCAACGACGCTGGCGCGAAGTATACGTGGAGCGCCTGCGCAGCCCCGCGGGTGGGTTGGCTATTCGGCCTTCGTAGCTTTTGCTCTTCTGCGGAAGGTGCGCGCGTACGTGTGGGAAGGCCAGCCACAGCAGAGTCGATATCGGCGAAGGCCACCGCCTTGGCGGCCGCGGCGGCCGAGAGGCAGCTGGGGAGAGGCGAGGCGGCTGCCTGGC